AATGACTTCACCAAGGACAACCAGTTTGCCGCCCTTAAGACAGTTGCTGAGAAGGCGTAAGGCCTTCGTAGAACATAATCTTCACGCTCTAGGAGCTGGTCTTTGGGGAGATGAAACGTTGACACTGATGGTAAGTTTGTTCCCACGGAGTGAGATCGTCATGATCATGGGGTGACTGTTCACGCCCTATAGCAGCAAGACAGTCGTCTAATGACGTCTCTGATGACGAAGACGAATCCAACTTCTGGGCACGTCGTCTTTGAACATCCGCCCCGGAAGTTGTATGCGACACCAACTGTCTCCAATTGTCCCTGCTAAGAGAAGTTGGTTTCATTGAGCCGCACTGTCCCCTTTATAGCGGTGTTACTTTATCCTCAAATCTCTCTTTCTCTCTTCATATGGAAACCCTTTTAACAAAAATTCAAAAACTTGTTCATTACATTCGTCGTCTACGTCCATATCACACACCCCAGTCCTTAATCTGGCGATTCATAGATGGCTGTATTCTTCCACTCATTCTTTATTGTTCTCCAGTTATTTTTCCAGCTTTACTTAAAAAAGATCTAATTATTTTTAAACGTGTCATTCGAATGCTCGCCTCTGCTGCTGGTGTTTTCTATCATCTTTTAGTTGATATCATCGTGCAGCGACACTTCAACTCGGTGGAGCAATTCGCTGACCGAATTCTGAATGACACCGTCCATCCCCTTCATAATGAGTTAATGGCTGCGAAATCCTTACGCCCCATGCGTCGATGCTTCCGCCACATCCCTTGCCGCACTTCGGCCTATCGGAATTCCATACTGCCATTTCTAGCCCGGTATCTCACCTGCAAAGATGTTGAAAAACAAAAACCAAAACTCGATCTTGCACCTTAAAGTCCTTTTTTCTCCGTATATAATCATGTCCTCCTGTCCAAAACCTGTTAATCTCTATGGTAATCACTGTGTACTGGAGAACCGTTTTTGCTGAAAGTTTTGAAAGTTATTTTCAAAGTAAAGCAGTCCTCTCTCAAAAAAATTTCACGGACGACCAGAGCAGCCCTTTTTTCGACCTTTTTTTTAATGAATTGTTGGAAAGCATACGAAAATTCCAGGCTGCAAAGATGAGCAGTGTAATTTCGATCAGGTTTCCGATGGCGCATTTTAACAGCAATTTATAGGGCATCTTTTTAAACCGCTCATCGCAAGAAAGTAAGCAGTGTAACACCTGCATAGGGCTTCTAAGTCATCTCAAGTGGTCGCCAAATTCCACCATGGGTTGCAACTTTTTTAAAAGCAATAACGACCGGAATTGGCCTGGGTCATGTATAGGATAAGATGTCGTACTCTTCGACAAAGGGAGGTTGGGTATTAATTCAGGATCGCTGGGTGTGTAAACGCATACAGCGGACACTCTCGTCTGATTTATCCGGCTAACGAAGGACGGTTTCCAGTGTGTGACCGTGGGACTAAACAGAGGTGAGAGCGGGATGTCGGGACGGGGCGGAGCAAATATATCCACGATGTTTGTCGATACGTTTTTTTTTTGCGGGGGGGGAGGCATCAGTGTATCGTTTGTAGCTGCTTTTTACCACCATAGTCGTGCCTGCACTACCAGGCCCATTTGGCGTCGTTTGGGCTGAATTTTCGTGCTTGGTAATTATCAATAGGGCATTTGCGGCAGGGTGTAGTCTCAAATGTAAGGTTGCGCAATTTTCATCTAAAAGTATCGATAGACTTGGTGCCATCGTACGGATACAACGTAGGTTCCCGCTCACATTACTCCATACATCTCGCAAAGTGTGCACACGCAAACATTGAAACGGTCATAGCCGGCCATTTGAACATGGGACCCCTCGGCTAGGGTGGCACACACCACTTGACCCTGCTACCACAAACCCGTAAATGCAGTTGAAATCACTGCCTCTATCCCATGCACGGATCGACACCATCGGAAAACCCCCTGGCCTAACCAGCGGTCACAGCTACAAGGGTCAATGTATCGGTGTTCTGTGCACAAAAACCTTTATATCGCGCCTTTTATTTGTTCCTGTTAACCACGACTTGATTTTGTGACTGTGGAATCAAAATTTACAACCACTACTTTTGACAGTTACATGGAATTGTCAGCAGAATTTAAGCATATTGTGGTATAATTCAAAAGGGATTGAATGCTAACGGATTTATTTTTAAATTAAAAACTCGATTTAAAGGGGTGAGCTTGACGAATACAAAATACAGATACACAGAAAGAAAGTAGACCTGCAGACTTCTTTTGCACATCACTGAAAGTTAATACAGCGTGCCATCCTATTCAATCTTTTATATTTTATGAAACCTTTCAGTACTGCGGCTTTTCTGGAATCTCTCGTTCAATACGTGCATTCTACGGCCACACAAATGATTACCGGATAGGTTACTTTAAGCACACACTGCGTTTACAAGTTTCTTCCATATCGTTGCTGGAATCAAACTGGAATTCAGCATGACGATTTTAATTATTAAAAGACCTTAGAGATCCTTGCAGGTTTCAAAGTTTCTGGTGTTATGATCTATAATCGACAATTTAACATCGGCAGCACTTTCCTAACTTCCACAGTATTTCTTCCAGAACCATACTTACTTATTAACCTCATTTTGAAACCTGGTACTGACTATCAATGCCACCGAATTGCTAGTGGTTACAGTAGTAAGAGCAGTGGTAGTAGTAGAGATGATAGTGATCGCAGTGGCGGTTGTGTTCGCGGTAGTGACGACAGCGTTATTGGTGTCAATGGTGGTAGCCGTGGCAATGACTTTATTGGAAAGAGTGTGAATATTGATGGTAGTAGTAGCAGCAGCAGTAGGAGTAGATATAGTGGGTGTGGTAGTAGTAGTAGCTGCTAGATACCCCAGCGCTGGGCCAGCTGCAGGCCAGCGCTCGTCCGCGCGCAAGGGTAACGTGGGCGTGAATGAATAAGCTCTATATGAGAATCAGTCAGTGCCAGTCTGGTCAGCTGATTGCGTGATAGTGAAGTTTGTGGTCGCCCGTGATTAGCTATCCTCAGGGCCGAATGTGTTCATGTTCTGGCGCTCGAGGCTCGTGACCACATGAGTCCCAACGTGGCGTGGGTGCCAGAGGCAGAAGGCTAAACCTCGTTTGAGGAGTTACAATAGTACTTATTTTGCCCCTCAGACCGACCACGCGGTGCATGTGCTCGGCCAACACATGGTCTGAATAGGAATCCAAAAAGGTTTTATCGGAGATTTGCACTAGTAACAAATGCCGACATTGGGGTGCAGTGGCCAGCATATATGCAGTGTATAAAGTCTTAGTCAATTTCCATTGTGAATCAGGGGCTGTGGTGATAGGCATAACTACAAGTTTACGCCGTGCCGGCCACCTGCGCCCTCTTCCACGTCCAGTCTTATTGTCGCTGTCTTGACACCGGGTTCAAATGGATAAGGGTGAGAGGAAGCGGTAGATTTAGCGAAAGTCCACTATCCCTTTCAGCTAACGCACGCGCATGTCACCATCATGTCCCACCCTGCTGGGGAGCACACGGTGGACATAGTCGACAACGATGGTCGAACTGTCAATAGTGCGCGTTGTGCCAGTATTGTCAGTAGTGCTGGTAGTGGACGAAGTGATGGCAACGTCATTCTCTGTTATAATGGTCGTGGTAGTTGTAGTAATGATAATATCTGAAGTATTGCTAGTAATACTGCATGATTTCGACATCGCTTGAGTGGTCTACACTGAAGTGCGTGTTACAAAGTGTAATTTATGTGGAATACTCCTTTCACTCCTGGGTTACAGTACGGTTTGCTGTGGCGGAATACGCCGGAAGTGGCCGATGCGACGTAATCATTTCCTGATACGTGTGAAAAAAGGCATTATTAGAACTTAAACCCTTACTGCAATAGTCGGCTTTACCTTGCCATGGCCCATAATCCGAAAAGAAGATAAGTTTGAAAAATACTTTACTCTATTTTGGCACTTTTTCCTTTCCAAACTATTATTGACTTCCGTTTTACACTGGCGTAAAAAACAGATTCCCGGATGCCTGGACTTATTATTAAGAATTAGTAAATACTGTACCATTGGATGCCAGGGTGCCTAATAGTATCATGCGGTTGAAGGTTAGTATTAGTGGCTGGTTGTAGGGGCCATGTTCTATTCCCTAATTAGACTTGTCCTTTCTGTTCTTATAGACCGCCTGTAGTGGGACTGCCTATCTCCATATTTCCATACTATTACATTCACCTAATTTGTGACAAGTGGTGAGCCTGAAACCGATTTGTTTGGCCTGACACATCTACTTAAGCTTAATTTCCGCTTTCGGGTTTCTTCGAACGAGCAGTGTTGGGGGTTTAATTCGGAGGCGCCGCAAATTTGGTTCGCACTCAGGTTTTACAGGCTTCCAGCAATACATTATCCTCTTTTGTGTATCAAGCATCTTTGCATCATTAATTCTCCTGCTTAAGCAATCCCTATTTCCTTCTATCTTCCTCCAGGTGGTTTTTTAAATAAAATTACTGGTGTGCAAACGTTAATGAGGGACATCCATGGTGCCTTGGCGGTTGAATACTACACCATATTTTCACACCAAATCGAAGAGATCTCTTATCTTATCCCTCGAGGGATAAGAAATAAAGTGAACAACCTAAAGTAAAGGGACATTTTTGATTTTAATTTGCAAGCCGTCTGTGTCGTGAGTAGAAAGGGGCAAGTAATATAGAATCAAAAAAAACTTTTGCCCCAGTTCAAAATCATGCCGCCAACACATATCTAATCTACATATTCGTTGAATACACCAATGTTGATCCGACGTTTCACGCTTTGCTTACTCTTTCCCATAAGAGAATAAACATCAAAGAATTAAGAGATTTTTAGATAACTCGTTTGCTTTTAGCAGAGTCATGAGATTTTTAGCACGTTTTATAGACGAATTATATCAGTTATTGTGTTTTGTTTGTCTACTTGCGAATAGGAGCGTCTGTTTGACTTAGGTGTGTCACTTCAACAACTGGACCGAAATGGATTTGGCCAAGCCTCCAGCGCCTTTAAAAGCCATTACTATGGCATGCAAATGTGCCCAAGAGCACGAAGAGCGCGACAAGATTGTTGCTTATTACTGTAGGTTTTATTTGTTATGTGTTATTAAGCACAGGTCGCATGTACGCCGTTCAAACAGGCGTAAAAATTGACGCGAAGTCAAAAGAATGCTCGGCCTTCCTTGGTGCATTGTTAGATAATCTGGACGCAATGAAACTTGCACTAAAGAATGATGAGCGCATTTCGTCAGAACTCCACGGTCAGGCATACATCGAAGAGTATGCGCAGAAGTTGTTCGCTTTTGCGTTTAAGCGTGACGAAGCATCTGACTTTGGCCCGTAATTTGGCGATACACACTAAATACTTTTTAGTGCCACAATAAAATCTTTTATGACTGCAGGAGTTTTGATGGATGTACTATCCTTCTTTGGCGAAGTTCCCGAAGAGGTATATTTCCTTCCTGACCGTCACTTTGCCAGATTGTGAAAGCTCGGAAGTACGCAAAGTATAAGGCTCTTTATATAAAAAGATGCCTGGATAATGGTGAAGTTCCCGTTGCGGGTCCCGCTTCTGTTGATGATGCATCTTCGGTTCCCGGTAAGATGGTTGCGCTTTTCTCCTTTATAACCGTTTGAAAAGAATCGATACATGCTTTAGAAGTACACACTTAATCATAAATCTTCCCAAAGAATTAAAACATGTCTGCGAAGTCATTTTCAAAGGAAACGATGCCCTTTTTAGTCTAAGATATGACTGGTTCCTGTGGCGATGTCATCCTCCACGCAGCTCTAATTAATTTCGACAGACGGCGGCTGACCTCATCTTTAGGGGCGGGTCTTGCGGTGACATTACTTGTCGACGGATTGGTTAATCAGGCCTGTAGGCGACCTCTTACCTTGAATCTCGCGGGGTGCTTAACCACGGTTTTGCGAACCTAATTGGCCAGGCGCAGTGAAGGCATGATATTGTCGGGTCTGCCAATTATTGTCGCCATCAGGGGGTCGAAATAACGAAGACCACGGTGGGATGGAGTTACACTTAAATAATTTAGATTTATGCTTCTCCTACCTCTGTGCTTCCTTAAGAAACTAAAAAAGTAGACAAAACACTATAATGTGCTTGGGGATTTGTAGGAGAACCAGCAGTATCATTAACCAACAAGCTGAATAGTCGGGGCCTTCTTTTGCTAGAGATTTCCACGGGTTTCACCCAAGACCAAACAGAAAGCTGAACAGATATTTGTGGAGAGTATTAGAGAGGAGCGAGACGACTCGAAAATAAAAATCGGACAGAAACATCTGAAATGCAGCGAAGACTTGGTGCCAAGATTCATTACCAGACGGGATTCGTTGCAGACTTTCATAAGGTAAGAAGGTGGAATATTTTCCATCGACGCAGGTTGGCCTGAGGACGCACGTTGACAAGCACAGGCTTCTGTCTCAAAAGCTATCTGTTACCGGAGAACAACGAAATAAACTCCCTAGATCATTCTGCATCGTCCTATATATTTGGATGGAACAACCTGAAGTAGGTTTAAAGTATCGCAAATTCGTTCACATGGATGGGACCGCTACCATGAACGACCTGCCACTGAACAGTTACTTTGTAATAGTTAGAAGCCGCCACTATGTCGTCAAGGCTGCCCGGAGTACTTGTACTTGGTACGGCTGCGATCATGTCTGATCTAGCTGCCCGGAGCGCCGTAATCCAGTGAATTCGCTTTGCTCCATTCATTTTATCCATAGTTTGTATTCTGTTGCGTGTTTTTTGGATTTTGTCATGTTGCTTAGTTTAAGTAGGGTCAACATGCGTTGACCAACCAGTTACCATATAACAGCTACCAAAAGTATTGTTTGAAATGAATGCAAAGTAGAAAAGTTGAAAAGAAGGTAAAGAGAAGTGAGGAAAATGTCACGAGCGGCGCTTAACTTGCATGCTGAAAACATTAACACCCATAGGCAAACAGACGGCAACAAAAAGAACGAGCGGGCCGTCTGTAGAAAAGCAAGCTAAACTTGCTCTTAATAGCAGAAAAAAGTACCCATCCATTTGTAATTTATGTTCTTTGTCCCACGTTTTTCAAATGGAGAAGACAAAGAAGTTCGAGATATCTGATATCGTTTGCCCTGTAGCCCAAGTCCGAACCATCTGGCGTGTGCACGACCAGGAGTAGGCGAATAATCTCCAGATAGGGCCAACGTCAAAATGAATTGGCTCTCGGGTTTGACGAATGAGCGCACCAAGGCTGCTGTTAATTACGCCTGCCGGGCTACTCAGTAGAGAACGAAAATGGCTTAGGGGGCGGGGAAGTGTGAATGTCCGTTGATGTGCTCAGCATCTGACAATATGCAGTTCACCAGCAAAACATAAATATCTTCGACTGGACCGAAGACCGAACACCAAACTTAAGTTCAAATCTCACTCCGCACCGCCTGTGGTTGAGGTTTTACCTACTCACGACTACGTCTCTGACTTTGTCGGGCGCCGCTTTGGGACATACATAGGTGAAAGTTGGTCATTAGGGTCGTTCCTTTGGCCAAAGCCGTTGAAGGAAGCAGCTATACAATACATTTAAAATCGTAAGTCTCATGCGCTCACTGTAGTAAGCACACTTGCTTTTTTTGAAGAATCCAAGAGTGCTTTTTACTGTCAAACTAACGGTGAGCCTGACACTGTCACGTGTTGACTGAAACAAGCGTATACAAAGTATCCAGGAAAGTCTCCGTTTTCTAAAACTAGGAAACCACAAGCCATACACGGGAAACCGTTATGACAGCCTTTTGAACTGATATTTGATTTGGAGAACGAATTCTACGTTGTCAGTGTGCATAACCATCACGGTGAAACTTATCAAGCAAAATCGCGGTTAGCACCTTTCCATACGAGACGTAGGGTTAACTTGTAGGCGGTTTCAGGAATCTCAAATAACATGACATAGCAAGCGGTTGAGCGGTGGAAATGCTGTAAAGAACCCTAGGTTTCAACTTAGTCGGATCATTTTCTAGTAAAACAGATTTCTCCTACTCTACAATAGAACTTAGAGACCAGTGCAAGCAGAAGGAAATGCATACAGTCGGCAAGGCAGCACGTGATATATGACTGATTCTGTGTCATTGTCAACGTTGCCTTCTGATTTCCCATCCTGCCTCCTGGCCCGGGCGGGAGCGGATTGCATGAGAAACCTCGGTCATTGGCCTGTGAAATGGGACATTTGACAGAACAAGTGACCGAAGGGATGAATTTTCCCTGGCAGCCCAGTCGCTCACAATCTGCTCGGTCAGATGAGAGGCGCAGACGGCGCCCCAACGGGGTCACTGCCGAATTTTCCGCAAGCTATCGCGTTTATAGTCATGTTCCTGGGACAAAAATCCGCAAAAATCCCCATTTGTTTTGCCGTTATCTTCCACCGACTGCATTCTGCCCAAAATTTGTGCTAAAAACCGGTTGGTAGACCAACAGGCAGTTCGGTTTACAGCTTTCCTAGACTTAGACCGATCATTCTTACATGTTACATTCATTCACCCTATCTACTGCCTTTTGCGTTCCTCATCCATCTATCCACCCAGGTGGTAACTTCTGCGTGATGTCTAAAACGGCGACTTACGAAACCAGATGCACGGTCTTTGGTCAATCAAAGCCACTCAGACAGTGGTTCTTACTGTATCCCCTGAGCTGGTAGCAATGGCGTTGCGGTACTTTGTAGGTCTAAATGATGTGGCGAATGATGTTTTATGGTAATTACAAGTAGCTTGTAGTCGTGGAAGCCAGGTACATCGGGCTGGACTTCATGTGGGGCAAGATTGAAGTTAGTTTTCTTGCCGCATTGCATTACAGTCACATTTTCGTTCTTGCCCATACTGGCGCACCTTCAGCGCGGTCACTTCCGACTGACTTTAGAATCCTATCTCTTACCAAGTGGTTTGTACCTCCTTAAGGAAGCAGTCTGGAGTCTGGGCGGTTTATGCCCCGTGGGCTTCAACTACCGAAGAAGCAAACGCGCGTCCTAATTTTATGTTTTTTTAAAACGTCAGATGTAGGTGGTGTTAATCTGGTTCTTGTATCCCTGTTTTGCCGCGCCCTCAAACATGCTAAATCGGGTCTGGTTCCTGGTTCTTACTGCATCCCCTGAGCTGGTGGTACTTTGCAGGTCTACGTGATGTGGCGAATGATGTTTCATGGTAATTACAAGTAGTTAGTAGTCGTGGAAGCCAGCCATACTGGCGCACCTTCAGCGCGGTCACTTCCGACTGACTTTAGAATCCTATCTCTTACCAAGTGGTTTCTACATCCTTAAGGAAGTAGTCTGGGCGGTTTATGCGCCGTGGGCTCCAACTACTGAAGAAGCAAACGCGTGTCCTAATTTTATGTTTTTTAAAAAAAGTCATCTGTAGGTGGTGTTAATCTTGTTCTTGTGTCCCTGTTTTGCCGCGCGTTGAGAGAACCACATGCCGGCAGGCAGCATCAGTCTGCAGAGGCCCCGTAGCTCAGGTGGTTAGAGCGTTGGCTGTACTAAAGCCTTCCCCCTTACTGCGTGGGTTCGAATCCTACCGAGGCGCCGAGTTTTTCACAGTTGGGTCAATATGAATTATTCAAAATCTGCCAAAATATCAATGAATCAGCCAGGAACCATTTTCCCTATCTACCGCGGTCTGTCCCTACCTTGCCTCTTGCAGATCTCAAGAGCCTCTCTAAGCCGACGGCGGACGCCAAACCCACCTCGCAGCCGCCGGCGCCCCCTAAGGAGGCTTCCAGCGGAAGTCCTGGGAAGGCGGACAACTCCCAGGCTTCGCCCTCCAAGGAGCCGGCCCAAAGTGGGGGGAAGTTGGACCCTAAGCTTACTGCATTAGCCGTAAAGCATGCCAAGTACGCCATCAGCGCATTGGATTATGATGACCGGACCACTGCCATTAAGAACCTCCAGGAGGCCCTCAAGTACCTGACCACTCAGTGATCCACCAGCTGTTCTCATTCCTTCGATCCTAACGCTTTCTCTCCATCTCTATTTTCTATACAGAGACCTGATGTCGCGCTTCCTTTTGTGGGAGTTCCACGCCCCCTCCCTACATTGTCCCTCATTTTTTTTCGTTTGTGAATTTCTTATTTTGGTCCTGCTTTTGCATCCCGTTCGGCAGACATTGCACTTGCCATTCAAGGGGACAGGGGGGAAGCCGGTGGCGGGGCGGATAGTCCCAACTACGGAACAGACGTGAGTGCAGTAATTTCCCTGTAGAGTTTCTGCCACAAATTGGGAGTGTTGACATCAGGGCGATGAAACCGTCGCAGACAAAGGCAGTTTGCTGGTTAGAATCCCTACAAGTTTAAAAAGCGTTTTTGGGAGATATGCGTCACCCTCCATCCTTGTTTCGACCTTGTCTCGAATGCAAATGGGTACAGTTTCACATACTAACGAAATGCTCCAACATAAGCGTTGCTGAGCGGTTGGAGTTTGGCGACCGCTATCAGTTCCACTAATTGTCGCATGATTCTCGGATACAGAGTAATTTTCCTGCAGATTTGCGAGTTTGGCACAAAATGACATTCGCAGATCTGGCTCGATTGTCCGACGGTATACAGACATTTGCTTGCTCTAAGGGGCCCAGGGAGTATGGCCGATTGAAGGCGACAGGCAAGGTCTCCTCTGGAGCAGAGGGAGTTTCTTAGATTCCTGTGGGATCTTCTAAATGACTTCTCGGATTCCGGCTAGACGCCTTGTCGGACAGATCGCGCCGCTTGAGGCCGTTGGTTCACGTCTTGTGGACCACAAGGCTCGGACAGTCCAGGAGGCCAGTTAGGGGGTGGCTTGCCGGTCAATGGTCGCATAGGACGGTTTGGTTGGGGGACGGATCCCTTGGCTTATGTATCAACGCAGTCTGCCTCCACGCCAGCTTAGGCTTCTAAGTCGATGCGGGACGGGCGGCGAGGCCATATTTGGTGGTGAACAACATTCACCATTTCCCTTTGCAGCTCTAGTTTGTGAGTTTTAGGTCGCTGATGTGTCAAATGGGTGCCCGATTATGTCGTTCGCCTTATCTCTGCATGGTCTTCGCGACTGGAGTCCACCGGTCGCTAGTCCGACGCCGCGCTAGGTATCCTTCAGCCTGACAACGCCCTGGGCACCAACACTTTCGTTGGGACAGGGGTCTTACACGTCGGACGTTTCGAATCTTTCGGCCCATCGTCAGATACGTTCAGACGTATAGGTGTTGGACACAGGGGTATTCTTAGGTAGCGGCCGCCAGTCCATGGTTAGCGCCTTCCACAGACACCTCATCTAAGAAGGACTGTGAATGTCTAGCGGCCGTCTATTCTGATAACTCGGACACCAACCGACACGTAGAACTGGATGCGGTGTACAACAGCCCCAAGGAAAAATGGACAAGGCATTGGCCAATCAGAACATTACGCCAGCAGGAGTGACAGGTGTATTAGCCGTCAACAACCAGCTGTACCGAACCTCAGTGCTTGCTGCACCTGAGACCCGATCCTGCGCTCTTTTAGTTATTAGTCAAACGCTTTAGCAACTGAGCCATGGACTCGCTGTCCTGTCTTTTGTGAGTGCATACATTAACTAGGGTAGAGTACGCTCACCTATTGCGTTAGGGGAGCTGCTCGCCACGTTGTGCTTTTGAGCTTGATGTAGAACCCCACCAACAGTATCTCGGCAGCTGGCATTATGGTTAGAATAGCATGTTCGGATCTCGGGTGTTTCAAAAAACTGGGGTTGAGTATAGCTTGCCTATGACGACTAGGAAACCGGAAACTATCATTCCAGTCTCTGCTGCTAAGTGGCTGCGGTCAGGGCTCGAGGTTGAGCCTCGAAGCACAAAGAGACGTGTTTGTCCTCTAACGCGAACTGCAAGCACCCGTTTACTATATTGACACATGATCTGGCCATAGAGAGAGTAACCCATCGCCTGCAAGATAATTCAAATGCGGCAACAGTGCTAAGACTGTCTCAGGAAGTACAGTCAAGTCGATGGAAAGTTCTAGCAAGTGGTTAAGGGCACACCAATGGGCTCGCCATTGTTAGGTCTGCTAGCGGAACTGGTATTACAACAACTAGAAGAGGGCGTTATGCGAACTTTGGGCTAAAATGTGACTACGATGCGTAGTTGATATATTTGCTATCACAAAGACTTCCGGGGTTGATCAGTTGCACCAGAGTCTGAATGATGTTTTCTCAGCTATCCAGTTGACTCGCGAAGAGGCAACAGGAGGTATCCTCCCGTTTCTAGACGTAAGCACTCAGAAACTCGGTGATGGCGGCCTTGCAACGAGCGTCTACTGAATAGGTTCTAATGTTGACATAAGCTTTAACCGTGAAAGCAAACATCCTGCGGCACATAAGAGGCTTTGTCGGAACCCTTTTCCACCGGGCCTTTCGCAACTGCAGCAGAGACGATCTACCCAGAAAATAACTCTCCTTCTCGTATCGGTTATTCCAGCTCAACGGATACCCGGCCAGCTTTGCGAAGAACTGTCACAGACATCAGAGGCAACCACGAAGCTTTGGCTGCAATGGAGGATAAGGACTGAGGAAATTCTAATTCCTGCCCTACATGCAAGGCATTTCCGAAGGGATCGCCAGAGAAATAAACCGGTTTGGCCTCTCCATTGCCCATAAGCCGGCGTCCTCCCTGCGTGAAACACCATCCAGAGTAAAAGATTCCATTCCCAAACAGTAGCAGACTAATGTTAATTACCGCATTCCGTGTGCCAACTGCTCTTGCGATTATGTTGAGCATACAGGTCGACTACCTGGGACGCTCATACGAGAACCTAAACAAGCCATCCGCCGACGTGACCCTTTGTCACTCGTGTCCGTGCAAGCCCTTGAATGCGACCATCGCTTCGATTAGGAGGAGAGTGAAGTTGTGGCTATGGCTAACACCAAACAGGCGTAAGAATCCCTTGAGGCCTGGCACGCTAACGCGACCAGCATTACTCGTCATGCGATCGGGACACTCATTACGAAGGTCACTGACTTGGCCATTTAAAATCTCACTGTTTCACCACCCCCTGCCCCAGACACAGCGAACCGGAGCTGCAAGCCCTAAGACCTCCTACGTTGGTGCACTGACCTCTACCCCCATGCATCATCAAAGACTACTAATTCCACCGTCTGTAGTCCCATAGAATCACCTTCCACCCTACCCTCCAACACAGGGAGCCGCAGCAGTTCCCCCTTCCCTCTCCGGCTCCAGATCCTAGCCTACTTATGTGCCCACCCCTTTCACACACTAGTTGCTTGTCTGTCACTGAACATCCTGTAGCGCCAACCAATTTAGTCTGACTATTGAACTTTCTCCTCTGCTTATTTCGTCTGACGTCGTGTTAGTGTCACCAGCTCGAGAATTCACGATTACAACCCAATCCTTTTCCGATAGGCCTCCTATCTTCATCATATTATCTGGGAGTGCACACTACCTCAGCTATGTGTTGAGTAACCGACGTAGTATGCATTCCGAGGTGATGTAATGCAAAAAAGAAGGCTCTTCGGAAAATCGA